ACTCGCCAGACCCGCGCGGGTGGAGGGGCGGGGCTGCAGCCCGGAGGGGGTGGGGCTCGGCGTCTGGGAGACTCACTCCGGGCAGTGAAGGAGGAGGGAGGCTTGGGGACCCCATCCTTCCTGCTTCTCAGATCCCCGGCTTGCAAATAAGTAGTGTGGCCCAGACCAGAGGCCTGCCCGGTAAAGAGGCTCCCACTCGGAATGAAACTGTGCCTCCCTGGGGGAAAATCCGACAGGCCGTACCTTTGCGCATGGTAATCCACCCTCCACCCCCAAATTACATACAGTCATGAGTCCTGACACCTTCGCTGAAGGTGAGCAGAGAGGAGGCTGTCTTGCGTGCAAAAGGGATCGATCTGAACTATCCACTCTCCAGGAAGCTATAGTAATGACTTCTTTGCAGGTCCAGGGTAAACCTGTACCCACGAAAATAGGAAATTTAGGGCACTGTCTTCTGTCACCGACTCAGAGTGTCTCCGTAGGAACAGATAGAAACTGCCCCCTTTGGATATTGAGAATGAGACCACAGTGCCTTATCTCCACCACCACCCACCCCTCTCTGCCTACACAGGAGCAGCTGCTGGTTTCCAAGCCCTGACCTTGTGGTTGGCAACTCAGTGAGCAGCCTACTGTGTCATAGGGCAGTGTAGCCATAATAAAAACACTAAACCCACTGCTATCAGTTTGATTCTGACTCATACTGACTCTGTGGGGTTGCCAGGAGGAGACAGCCTCATCTTTCTCTCCAGGTATGGCTTGTAGGCTCTGAACCACCAACCTTGCAGGAGCAGCCCCGTGCTTATCCTGCAGCATCACCAGGGTCTCCTGGAAGGAGAGAAGAAACTCTTAAAACAGTATGAGGCCAATGGACTGGATAGGCCTACGAAATGTTTCCCTAAACCTTTGAAGCAACCATGGCTCCTTCTATTCATGCTGTTGTTAGGTGCCCCCGGTCAGTTCCAATCTATAGTGACCCTATGCCCCAACAAACAAAACACTCCCCTGTCCTGCACCACGCTCACAATTGCTTGAGACCGTTGTTGCAGCCACTGTGTCCGTCCATCTTGTTGAGGGCTGTCCACTTTTCCACTGCCCTCTACTGTACCAAGCACTGTGCCTTTTTCCAGGGACCAATCTCTCCTGACAACATGTCCAAAGTACATGGGACCAAGTCTGGCCAGCCTTGCTTCTAAGGAGCATCCTGGCTGTACTTCTTCCAGGACAGATTTCCTGGTTCTTTGGACCATCCATGGCACTTTGAATGTTCTTCGCCAGCACCATAATTCAAACGCATCGAGCCTTCTTCCGTCTTCCTTATTCGGTGTCCAGTGTTCACATGCAGATGTAGCGACTGAAAATACTATGGCTTGGGTCAGGCACACCTTAGTCCTCAAAGCCACATCCTTGCTTTTCAGTCTTTGACCTCATGACGCAATGCAGCGCATTATATATTTGAGAGCAGTCTCTAATGCGATGCATCACTCGACCTCTTGACAGCTGCTTCCATGGAGATGGATTCCCCAAATGGCAACTCACTAGGATCCACAACTTCAGTCTTTCCCGTGTTTATCATGTTACCTGTCGCTCCAGTTGTGAGGACGTTTTACACTGAGTTGTCATCCAGACTGAAGACTGTAACCCTGGGTCTTCATCAGCAAGGGCTTCAAGGACTTCTCATTTCAGCCAGCAAGGGGCTGTGTTTGAGCCCAGGGTTGCAGGCACTGTGGCAGTCTGTCTCCATAGGGGGTTTCTTCTTTGACCACTGATCCTCTGCCGAGCACGAAGACCTTCTGCAGGCCCTGGTCCCTCCTGAGATGATGTCCAAGTGCAAGATATGAAAGCTTGGCGTTCTCGCTCCTAAGGAGCATTCTGGCTGTACTCTTTTCCAAGACAGATCGCTTCATTCTCCTGGCAGTCCATGTTACGTTGAATATTCTTTATCAGCACCATAATTCAAAGGCATCCGTTCTAGGGCTTTCTTATTCATTGTTCAGCTTTCAAACGCATAGGAGGCGATTAAAAATCACCTTGGCTTGAGTCCGGCTCACTTTTATCCCCAAGGTGACATCTTAACTTTTTAACACTTTACTATTTATTTTTATTATTTTTT